CAGAAAGTGGAGACGAAAGTAGACGGCATAACATTGTTAGACAGCAAGAAATGAGGTGAAAGGAGACAATTTTAGAGAAGAAAATTTTTCTGTCGCTATCCAGATTTGAACCCGGGACCTTTGAATGAGAGGCGAATTTGAACACCTTAACCTCTAGGTCACGAGACCCCCCTTGGACGCTTTAGCAAAACAATGGACTTATATTTCCAAGTAAATTGAAATCTAATTTATTACAATTACCACGTTTTGTTGGCTTTTTCTACAACTTCGATTTTCATCGATAGAGGATGCGATTCACAATTACGAACACTTTAGCTTTACTGAAAAAAACGTTCTGAAAGGAAGAGACTCTGGTTGTATAGCATGTCCACTTTCGTCTCTCGGTTAAAAACAGTATAAAAAGAAATCGGTCTGTTTAATATTCGCAGGCCTGTGCATGAGGGTCTAAAAGTTAGATGACCAACAGAATATAAAAGCCCATTATTGGAGCTCGAGATCACTGAAAACTAAGGTTTCGACACACGTTCTTTGATGTTAGTATTGTTGGCCAGAAGCGAGTAAAAATGGCGGAGAACGTACAGCAAGAACATAAAGTATAAAAAAAAGTTTTGCCCACTTTTCATCAACACTTAAACGCATGCTAATGAAACATATTGGGGGGGGGGGGGTCTACAAGCTTGTACTGGGATGTGGGGACAGAGTGGTGTCTCAAAATGAGCAATTTGCAGGCTCGGTTATTTTATGTAAGGCCCAAATAAATATAAAGTTTGGTCGCTAGTCTACGGGAGTACCATGCAAATTTACCTGAGCATTTACATTGGTAAATGTACCCTTTAACTGCCATAGTTGCAACATTGCGCTTTCAAATAATTCACAACAGCGCTGAGTCTGGCAGTAAAGGAGTTAATCAAGAAACAGCATTTTTTAACGTGATCAGAAGAAAATGAATAGCTATAATAAGTCACGATTTGTAGAAAATTAAATGTTCATTATTTGTTGATGTTGCAATGATGGCAAAATATTTAAACAGAACAGTGGTTTTGATAAATCTGCATATCCTGATGGGCAAACCGGTTATTGAAAAGTCTTAATGTGCGATAAAAATGTGAAACAGTTCAAAAATGCATTGCGATTCGCAATGTAGTAATTATCATCATCAAGGGTCACATCTGCGACAGAAATCGGCGATCACAATTCTCCATTCAATCTTTTGTTAGGTGTTAGGACGATCAGAAAAAAGAAGCTATAATCATTATCCTGGTCTGTCCCCGGCACCCATCTGTATAATCGTAAATAACATATAACTAAAGGCTCAACATTTGAAAGACAATCGAAAGTGAGCCACCGTATAGGACAGCGCAAGTACTAGATCTGTAATAGATCGACACTTCTCGAGTCAAAAAGGCTGAGTTGTTTCACGGCAGAGTTCAAGCGAAAGAGAGTGCGGTCAAGATGTGTCCAGTTCGGGGTCTGCTCGGGCCAGTGAGAAGCCGAGGGGCCGTCTGCCCTGTGTCCTCCTGGGTCCCCAAACTATCACCGTCCCCAAACCCCCAGGCATCACTGCCCAAAAACTGCCTCCCCGTGGCCCCGCTAAACTTGTGTCGCGACCCGGCTTGCTGCCAACATCGAGCGACCCCAAGCGAGGCAGGCAACGCGGGCCCGCCAGAAACGCACACCCTCACACAGCCACACATACACACACACACATACACACACAGAGGGGCCCCCCTCGCCGCATTCGCCCGCTCGTCGTTCGCTCGTTCCTCTCCTCCGTTCGTTTGGTGCATGCGTCGCGCGCCGCCACGGCCGGATGTGAACTGCGACACAGATTCAAGAGGCCACAAGCGCACGAGTCTATTTGTTTTTGTGATAAGGCCGAAAGACGGACGGAGGTTGTTTCTCCCTCCCCCCTCCCTCTCACTGAGTGAGATGTCGTCTCTCTCGCATGGGCTAAGACCTCAGTCGAGCATTTGCAAGGGTAGTTCAAACCGAGAGCTCGAGATGCCAACACGAAATCTACGTTGCACTTCGACAACTTTTCAGCGCTCGTTTCCCAAGTTAAAACAGCCCCTCACCTAACCCAGGTGCGACGCTCGGAGTTTGGGACCAGCAGTCAACCCAGGTCGATATTGTTTTGGTTCGTCAGCTGATCGCGCGCTGCTCGACTTTGCGTGTGGAGAAATAGTTGTTACTTGTACTTTCTTCACTTCGACTAGAATTATTTTTATTTTTGTTGGAGTTCCCTTCTCTGGTGTAATTACACAACTTATTTTGCTCACGTGTGTGCTTGTGCTCTTCTAGTGTTGGAAACATTATCATTGTTCGTCGTCGTCGTCTTCGTCGTCGTCGTTGTTATCGCCTGCTCGGAGATACATTCATAACCAACCCATCACTCGGAATCTTATCGCAGCATCTGCGTGAAGAGCCTGCTCAAGATAACGCCACTCTGTTGTTGTCTCTTCGGAGAACTGCACCCACGCAGTGAACTTCGTAACGACACTACCGAACCATCCTTCACGGTAATCACAATACACAATACAAGTCTAGCCTACCTGTACATCTTTTAGATCTACTTCTATTTCCACTGCCTATTGCGGTTGCTTGTTTGGTTTGTTTTTTCTCTTTCTTATCTTATCTTGTGAATGAGTTGCATTGCCCGCACTATAACGAGTGACAGCGAAAACACTAAACAACCCCCCCTCCCCTCCCCTCCTTTCAAAAAAATCCTCATCGCTTAGGCACCCACCCCTTTATTTTCCGTTTTCCTCTAATCCCCCCCACCCCGACAGCGTACGCGACAGGCCTGGCCGTTAGGCTGAACCGAGTAGTAGAGTCCGCACAGCTGGTGGCCCGCCTGTTATCTCATCGCTATTTACGTTTTCGCTGGGGACACCACCACCACCACCACGCTTTCCTTCCTCCACCGGGACCTGCCCGTTATTTTTCGCCCGGAGGCTCATGCGACAAGAGAGCGAAACTTAATAAAGCCCTCCTGAGGTACAGATCTATTTCGTTTTTAGTTTTGCGGAGAGCACCGGTCTTCCTTCTTGTTGTGTGTTTACTAGATTCTAGAGATCAAGATCAAGATGACATAGATCTAGATCTAGTGCCGCGCAGTGTTCTGTTTGACTATTGTTGTTCGTGACTGATATTTAAAAATTCAATTCGTTGACACAGGTAAGATGTGGCCACGGAGCTCTGGTTTATTTATTTTGCGGTTAGTTGTTGTAGTTGTTTTTTTAAAATAGAATCTATTATTATTGTTTTTAAGAAAGTTATTTATTTGTGTGCTTCTTTTTAAATGTAAGGTGTATTTTCTTGCCCGCACGGATCTTGTTCTCTTATTTATGCGTGGTCTTTTTCCCCCGGGATTCTTTTCGGTGATTATCAGAGTGAAACAGATACATCACTCCTATTTATTTTTACTTAAAGACAGCGCGCATTGGTTTCGTGGGCTCTCACGGGGCCTAAGTTGTGATGTCGGTTCCCATTTCTTTCTTTTTATCTTCTGTTTTTATTGGGCGTTTTATTCTATTTTTAAATTTCATAATATCCTGTTATTATTATTTTATTTTTATTTTATGCGCGAGGGCGACTTGCGCTAGAAGATTGGGAGATGACGAGAGAGACTCTCGAGTCTGTGGCACAATAGGTAAATAGTCAGAAACCTATTATATCTGATCAGGGTGTTCTGCTCCTCTGTAGTACTACTCCTCTGTGATATATATTGTCTATATATATATTTATTTTTAAAAAATATATATATATACATACATACAGGCAACGGAATGCCTGGTGGTTGCGATCGTAATTTTTTTCCGTTTGTAAAAGCTTCGCAGTTTGGTTTTCCTAACGTGCTTGTTTTGAGTTTTGTTTTTTTTAACTTTTACTCCACCCTGTGCGTGCGATCGTCACACCGGACAGAAGTTACTCTTATCTTATTGTTCATTCTTTAAGTTTCAATTTATTATAAAATTTATTATAAAACTTTCTATTTTATTTAGATTTATTTTAGGGGGGGGGGGGTCGGAAAGGGGAGTAAGGGATTTCTATTTCAAAGCATGGGGAGCGAACGGTCTCAGATGTGTCTGTCTGTTTTATTACAACATCTCGGGCGCTTTGTCATTTCATCGTTGTGTTCGTTGAAAGAAATCCGTTTAAGTTAGTAAAAGTAACTTGAAGTAAGCTTCCCACATTTTCCGAGAAAACGACGTGTAAACAAGCGCATAAGAAGAAAAATAACTGCAGAAAAATAATATGTCGGGGGAAAAATACCGAGAAACCCCAGCCTAACGAAACCGAGAAGTCCACCGATAGCCGCTGAAGATGACGCAATTGTCGGGGGAAACACGATCTTTCTTCTTTCCCAGGATTTCCCGGTTTTCTGGTTTTGTCATCATCGAAGCTAAATCGGGGAACATCATAATTCGTTTTTCTATATTTAGACGCGTACGTGCGCTCGGCGTGTTTATATTCGTCGTCTCGTACCGTTCCGTTCTAGATCTCGATCTCGCATCTACCTACCTACCCCCACTGCCAGCAAAGATTCTCTAGATCTAGATCTACTACCTTGCTGCCACTACTACTCGTCTTCAGACCCGACAGAGTTCATAGTTTAAATTCCAGCGATCTCGCGACTTGTTATTGTGTAGGTAATGTGTAGCCAGCAGGAAGAGTGGGCGGTTTCCAACGGTCTATGTGGAGTTGGAAGTCGAAGTCTCCCGTGTTGTTACAAGGATTTTTCCGTGGTCCATATCGCAGGCGCGTATAGATTAACCCTATCCGCACGTCGTGTTTTTCTATTGAATCCATACGACGTGGGGAACTCCGTGCCACCACTTTCCAAAGAGGAAATTTACTCGTTAATCCGATCCGTACGCTTTGCTTTACAGTCTGTCAAAATGATTTTTGAGAAATACTGAAAGTTTCAATGAGATCTTCGTACTACAAATATTCTAAAATGTGAAGAATACAACACCGGGGGTACAAAATGACCCCACGGCGTACGGATAGGGTTAACAGCTCTGAACGAGGCAGCGCCTTAGCACTAGAATCTAGAACTACAAGTGGCTAGCAGCCATTGTGCCACAGAGGATTCGGGACTATTGAAGCAATAAATATGTCTCCTCAATCCCTCACCCCCC